AATTTGCTTCATAAATGGTTCCAATGTACTCCTATAAATATAGATCATGGATTTTATCAATAGAGAATGAAAATTAAAAAAAAAAAAAAGAGAGAAACTCACGGTGGAAAATGTTCGATAATACATTGCAATAAGAAGAAAGCTTCACGATCGTTAATCTTAGATGCTATTAATTTTTGAAAAACGCCCAATAAGCCGCTAGTCTTATCTTGTGCTATTATTAAATGTGAACCGTGACTAACGTAAGCTTGTAATAATCTATTAAGTGGATGAATATTAGCTTGACGTTCAAATAAAACTGGTGCTAATAAGCACGGGAATAAGGCCATATAAGGATCTGGTATTTCCTGTGTAGTTCTAAGTTCCAAAAATAAAGCCAAGATTTGAAAAACATACGGTATAAATTCTAAAATGAAAATGAAATATAGTTAATAGAATATTTATACAAATAATATTAATATTAATACGCACGCAATACAAACCTGATATATCTTGCTGTAGAATTTCTTGAAATATTGGAAACAAAACTTGTTCGAATGATAAAACAGCCTGAGGATTTGTTTTACAAACGATTCTAAAAAAAAAAATATATATATACATTTTTTTTTTTTTTTATAATATTAATTACAAATCAAATTTAACGTGAATAATGATCTCATTATAAATAATGAGAACTTACTTGATAGATAAGCTTAATGTTTCAAATAGATAATGATTGAAATTAGGACGCGTCGGATTTTTAGCGACCATTGTAAGTTTCTCTGTAAGTTTTGGTAATAAATCTGCTAAGAATGGTACAATATTATCCTGTAATATACCAAAGCTTCTCATAATAGCTTTCATTACATACTCATTTTCTTCTGACCCTGTCAGAGACAAACATGCGAATAGTCCCTTTAGCAGATCCGGTGCTAATGGCATTAAGTCATTTCCTTTCACTCTAAAAATTAATTATTAAAAGAGAAAAATTAATATTACGTTAATTACATATATTATATTTTATATATTATTCAATATTACTTTTCCTTCTTACAAGGAATTATTGTCTGTGCCTCTCATAGCAAGTATTTTATCAACTGCACAAGCAGCATATGTATGAACAACGATACTCGTAGCACTCAAATGTCTAACTAATTGTGGTAAACTTCCTACGACTAATTCCTGTGGTAAAACTGATCTAAATGACATTACAAATTTAATTGCGTCTGCTTTAAGAACAGGACATTCGTTTACTGTAATATAAAATATTAAACATTTATAAATATATAATAAATTTATCATTAATAATATTCAAGAGAATAATATATACCATTTGGTTTAGAAAGTTCAGGCTCAATGTGTTGTGCCGTAAATTGAGGTAATGGAACAAGTTGACTACTTTGTGTTACTCCATGCCTTTGCGTTTGTCCTTTAGTGGCACTACTTGTAATTAAATAAATAGCTGCATCTTTACTACGCCAATTTTCAGTAGGCTTTTCTGCATAGTTTTGTAACATTACCTAATAAAGATAAAATTTATTTATAATAATATTTATTATAATAATTTAAATATTCTTATAGATATTATTTATCTACCTGTATATAAGCTCCAAAAATTTCCATTATTTTTACTTCAAAATACTTTGAAAGAACTTTTACTAAATCACAAGCTGCTCGCCTTCTTGTATCTACATCACTACCTTCTATATCACGGCGTATGTACTCTTCTGGATTGTCTTCGAACAATTCAGCATCCGAATCTAACAAATTGTATAAATCAAAATTATATAAATCAAAATTATAAAAAAAAATTGATAATATCAATGTATTTATGCAGTTAATTTTTCTTCAATTTTTTTTTCTTTTTTACATAAGCCAATTTTTTAACCCACCTCTAAATTCCATATTAGGAATAATAACTTTTTCACAGATACTGCTCAAAGTTCCTGAATCCTCAAACAAATTTCTATAACGAGAACGATCTGCTACTATTGCCAAAAATTGTAATGCACTTGATACTAACTAAAAATGTTTATGATTATAAACATAATATAATCAGCACATAAAATTTAAATAATAAAAATCGAAATCATAATTATTTAATAAATATTTCTTACTGCATCATATTTGGTCTGTTGACCTGTAGATGTTAATAAGTTCCATACAATTGTTACAAATTCCGGTAAAAATGGTTGGAATTCTTCATCGTACTTTTGAGCATAAAGGCAGATATTATCACAAACTTGTGTTTTTAATTGTTCCATCACACCTGCTTCTTCATTATCCTAATATTAATAATATATTATAATATACACAATATATATATAAATATATATTAATTTGATAATCATTTATATAAGGAAAAAAAAAAAGCATTGATAATTACTGTTGTTCCCAGTGATGGTACATCAGTATTTAATATAATAAGAAAATTTTTCATCCATGATGCCATATTATCTTCAAAAAATTCTGGTAAATCCTAAAACGATGATACAGAGTACATAACTTATGAATAATGTTATAATATATTATATCATTACAATATAACTTAATGTCATAAAATAAATATTCAATAACTTACTTGAAAATTAAGAGAATAAAATACTTTAGAGAGCATAACCAAAGAATTATATATCACTTTTAAGGCATCTACATTATTAGCATGTATCTGTGCTAAATTCATGGTTGTCTAAAAGAAAAAAAAAAAAAAAAAAAGAAAAAGATAAAAAGCTAGGTTATAATATTCATATAGGAATATTTATATTACATAATGATTACTTGATGACTTACTAAAAATAAATCTGTTAATGGCTTTGCAAATTGATCCAATACAAATTTAATTTCCGTCCATAAAATTTCACTTTTGAATTCATATCTATATCTTTTAAATAAAGAATGTGCCGTATGTAAGACTCCATTTATTACATGAAAATCTCCTGTATTGAATTTTTCAATCATCTGATCGATCAATTCTGGCCATTTATTCAAAAGATCGTGTTTACCAATGATTGATACAGCATCGGATAATTGCTTTTGTATTGAATGAGGAGAATGCAACATTAAATTAACTATTAATTTCTTTATCGCATGTCTATCCTGTGCATGTATACGATCTTGAGCATCTTCCTCCTACAAATATATTATTATACATGTTAAACATATAATTTTAACATATAATTTAAAAATTAATATATTTAACATTCATATATATACATATATTATTAAATATAATCACTTACAACTTTCCAATTACGTTTTATATAATTTTTAAATGCAACTGCACCAGCGATTCTTATAGTTATATCTACTTCGGTTTTGTCTATCAAATGTAAAAGTAGTAAAGGATAATTCTGATTTACTTCTATGGATTCCAGAAACTTTTCAGCTGTGATAAAATAATATAAAATTATTAAAACAAATATAATATATTCAATGTAAATGGATAAATGATAAATTCATAGAATGTAAAAAAAAATTGAACATTGTTTTACGACTAAATTACAGCACAAAAAGTTTCTTCTAATGTGTTTGAATTTTAAACGTTAATTGAACAATGTCGATCATTATATTTTTTAAAAATAAATATAGAAAAAGAACATTCGTCATTATAAAGAACTGTAAATAAAATAATTCTCTATGATAAAATTGAGGTTACTTACCCGGTCTTCTGACATTTGTATCTGGACTTAATGTATGTTTTAAATATTCGCTTAATGTTACCAAATTCTCATCCGTAAGCTCCATTTTCTTACAGATTAAGGATTAAATTGTTTGTTCTTTCACAAAATATTCCTAATTATATCACAACAATAAAAAATCAAAGCGGCATAACGTACCAGCGTTTCGTAAATTGAATTTCACGCAGCGCCATCTACAAGTCGTACAAATCAGATCGGAAACTCGCTATTTTACAAATAAAATTCTTATTAAGGTTATTCATAATTACTACTTTTATAATGGTTTACGCCGATTTCCTCAACACGTCGATTTTGATTAACAAATTAAACAATTTAAATTAACAATTTAAAAACAAAGCTTTAATCTAGGATTCCATTTTTTCGAATTTTTGAGAAAGCTTCATTTTTTTTTCTTCAAAAAAAAATCGTATCATATAAAATATATTAAAACAATATTAAAAGAAAAAAAAATACATCCCATATATAACAATTACGATGAGTATAATTGTAAAAATATATTGTAAAAATATTTCTTCAGAATTTACGCGCGAAATTTTGGGAGTTTTAGAAAAGAATTAATGGCGTTAATTACTTCATGGCGCCAAAGACGAAAATAACAAAAATATTATAATCTCAAATACTTACACAATTAGAAGTATCTACTTATAGAATATAATAAGAAATTAACATAACCATTAATTTGACAAAGTATTTGCGTTAGAAAATGTTTGTTATTATATTCTTTTTTATCATATTTTCCAGATATAAAATTAAATCCCAAATAATATCGGATTACGTGAAAATTCCTATGTACGCACATTCCCAGATTAAATTAATAAAATTTTTGTATAATATCGATAAATAAATAATGTATCGTTATTAATTATATAAATAAATGTAATATTCAAATAACTCGATTACTTACACGTAAAATCATATACCTCGGTCGCCATGTTTATTCATTATAGCCGTGTGGACTACTGAAGTCGATTATCAAGCGTAAGTTCATTTATTATTCTTCTTCTATGCAACTCGAACATTAAATTAAATATTATTGTAAATAACATTTATTTTTTTGATATTTTTATAAAGTATAAAAAGTATTAATTTTTTATTACCTGTAATTATCAATGATAATTCTTTATACAAATTTAAACAATCAATTGATTAACTAACCTTGACATATACAATATCATATACTTTTATATACATACATATTTTATTTTAATATTGACATAATAAAATAAATATTTCGATTAATAATGGTATCAATTGTTGCAGAAAAGGATAACAAGATATTCAACACGGATAGCTTAGGTGAATGAAATACTAAACATCGTAAAATTATTACAATAAATTGACAATATAATATATAATTGACATAGAGAATAACTAATTAAAAAACAAAAAAAAAAAAAAAAGAACTTGTTTATATAATTAATTACATTTAATTTACTATGTGCGTGTAAATCCTCCATTTAGAAATTATATCTTTTTATTTTTCTTTTCTAACTTACTAAGGTCTCTAAAAATCTGTTTTTTATATTCTTTCTGTTTTTTCAATTTTTTTGTTTCTTCCGCTGTAACTCGTGCTTTAAGGGCTCTAACCCTGTCTACCGTAGCTTTTCTAAGTTGTTTTTGCTTATGAGCATACGTCGTTCTAATCATTTTCATTAGACGCGCTACATTTTCTTCTTTGGCATCTCGTACAACAGCTACTCTACGTTCTTCAAATTTAGTTTTCCGTGTACGAGGGTTAGGTTCAAGTTTAGGTTTGTCTTTATAAGGTAGTTCCTTTTGTAAATTACGTGGTATAATTAATGGTTTAAATACCTTCAAGGTTCTTTCAATAGGAATATAAAGTGAATCAGTGTTAATATTTGCACGAATATTCTTTTCTCGTTTTAATTGACCAGTTGTTTTCATTCCACGCCATTGATTTTTTTCTGTAGGAGGTAACAAAAGTGATGTTACAGGATTATAGAATTTTGGTACCTCGACTCTATACCAAGTACGACAAAAAACTATATCACTCAACAAAATTTTATCCTCAAATGAGGCACGGAAACAACCTTCCGGTTTCGAAACTGCTTTTTTTATTTGACCACGAATACCAGAAACTGTTTTTATCTTTGCACCCTCAAATTTAGCTACTTCCAACGTACTGTTAAACATATCCTTAATAAAGGCCGTTTTTTTGTAAATTTTCATTGGTACACCAGTTAGTTTTAATTTTTTCATGATTTGAGTACTTTTATCCATTTCTACAATCGAACCAGTTGCTGCTATTCTAAAACCTGGTTCTCTACTAGCAATATCCTGAATTGCAAGAACTCCGGTACCTTGTGGCGTGATAGGGCCCCAAAAATGTGCCATACAAGCAACATGTTCAGGGGTATATTTTAACATTCTACTACGTAGATTATCTTCTAATTTAGAATAAATCGGTAATGTTTGAAATCTTCTCCAACCTACAGAAAATATCAATGGATCTTTACTTTTTAAAATTCTCGAATACCATCGATGCTTTTTAATCCGCGTTTGCACATAACCTATATTCTCTTCTCCATGTAATAATCCTCCAATAATGAGTGGATACGATGGATCTAAATTTGTAATTATTTCACAAGGTACAGTTTGTATCTCTACACGCACATACATTCCTGGACGATAACCTTCTAATTGAACTCTAACATCATCATCTATTCCTTCAAATTCTGATTTGTTTAATTCTGCTTGTTTATCTACCTCTTGCTTTAATTCGTCGTAATACGATTTTGATTCTCCATTATCGTACTCGGCATCAAATTGTTCTTTTAACTTTTTTTTCTTCTCAAGAAGTTTTTTCTTTTCATCCATTTCATTATTTTCTGATTGTTGCGAATCATCTGCTTTATGTTTTTCCCCAGTTTCTAAATCCTCAAAATCTCCATACACTTCATCTTCATTCATATCATCTAATTTTAAAAGTTCCTCTGCGTCTTCAGATTCTTTCCACTTACCAGTAACAAAACAATTTAGCAACAACACTTTATTCTCCTCATCCAACCAATCACGTGAAGGTTCTTTTGAAAAGAATACGCATTCATCCAAATTTTGTAATTCACGCTCTTGTAATTTTTCTTTTTGCTTTTCTTGTACGATTTTAAATATTTCACCAACTGATTCATTATAATTTTCATCTTCTTGTTCTTTAATTTTCTTATCATTATTCTGTATGCCTTTATCAAATACTCCATAAACAATTTTCATTAAATTTTTATTACTTTCTCGACGATTTATAAATGCTTTTTTGGCTTTGTCCATTAAATTAGTCTTCCATTTAAATTCATCTGCAATTTCTTCCTCACTTTCATTCTCACTTTCATTTATATTGTGATCTTTTTTTCTCAACTCTTCTTCAAAATCATTATCATCATCAGAATTATCTATTTCTAAACCACCACGGGAATCATCATCACTAAGCTCATCAAAACTTTCATTATCACTTTCATTATCACTTTCATCCAAATTCCTATTGCTTGTACTTGCCTCCAAAATATTAAGAACTTCTGTAATTTTATTCTTAACTTGGATATCGGATTCTTTACTTAAAGAATGATAGACTTCTATTTCTCCTTTATCTTTAACTTCCTTATTACTATCATCTTTAAAATCATCATCTACATCACTATCTTCTTTATTAGAATTAATAGAATGAATTTTTTTCTTTTTCTCTTTAGAGGTTATCAATTGTAAATCCTGACTCTTTCTTTTAATACCTCTTCTACTTGTATTCTCTTCTATATCATCATCATTATCGTCATCATCTTCATCATCTTCATTATTGAATTCTTCAATATTATTATCCTCTTCTTCGTTACCATCATCCTCATCCTCATCAGAAGTTGCTGCTGCTGCTGTTGTTGTTTCTTTGGAATCAGAAAAAATAACCTTCCTTCTTATTCTTCCATCTTCAATTACATTTTCTCCAATGTAATGAGAATTAAAATCTTCATTAATATCCTTAGATTTTATTGGAACAGTATCACTAAATAATTGTAATTCGCTATGTTGTAACTTTTGATCTAATGTTTCTTGAGTATCCATCAATGCACCAGTTAAACCTGTATCTTCCTCTTTATGAGAATGACTACCTGCTAATTCTACATAAACTGCATCTTTATCATAAACAATTCCACCGATCCCAGAAAAGGGTGCATATATTAATCTTTCTTTTTCTATTAATGCACGTTTCTTTAATTGTTCAGGAAGCGGGCACGGATCAGGTAAATAACTTACATCTTTAATTCTAAGATCTCCACAGCCAGGCATATGAATGGAAGATTCTTTATTCAAGGGAACTCCTCTAACATACCTGTATAAAAATATAAAAACACATTCTATAATTTTATAATATATTATAGATATTTTATAATATAAATAGAATATAAGATTTTACTAACCCATATAAACATATTGTTCTATCAACTTTGGCATTTTTCCTTATCAATTCAGGTGATGTTAAATCTTCTATCCTATCTGCAAGTATATAAGGATGGGAGGTACGCCAAGTCAATGGTCTAAATTTCATAACCGATATAAATCTTGACAGATTTTTTATTTCCGTGCGAAGATATTCATCGTGAATTAATCCAGAAAGATAAAATAATTTTGCACCAGCATATACTTCAGTCCAAAATCTATGTTTCAATATTTTCTTTGTTTTTCTCAATTGTTTTGCATTTTTAAATAAATCTAAATGAGTTAATACTCCCATAATTCTTGGCATACCATGAACTTGACATATATTGAGAAATTCAAAGACCTCCATTTCAAAGCCAAAAGATGCATCCACTAATAATAATACCAAATCAGCTACTTTTGCAATATCTATCATACAACTTATGTCATTGTTACATTCCATAAATGTAATCCTTCTTTTCTTGCCGGATACTACGGTAACAGGACCGATTATATTAGTTAATGGTTGTTTAACATAACTTTTAATTAAACATTGTATAAGTAAGGATTTTCCAACTTTAGGTGGTCCTACAATTGCGACCAATATTGGCGGTGGCTCCAAAGGCGTTCTATCTACTACAGGAATATGTTGCTTTTTAGTTTCAATATCCTGCTTACGTCTAAATCGTCGTTCCGCTTTAATAGCTGAATTAAACGTAAATGCTTTTGGATTTTTCTGTTTATCCGTCAATTCTTGAACATGTTGATTTTTCGCTTTTTTCTTTTCCGCTTTACGACCAGCATTACGTTCTCTATGCGTCTTATGTTTTATATTATCTTCTTCGTTAGACATTTTCTCAAACTAGTTGTATTTATTTTATAAATATTACACGATATTTATCATACTAAATCATTATAAAATCGTTTTACTTACTTGTAAATCTAAGCAGTACGACCATGCGTCTGTCTTCTAAGACGTGGTTAGGTTAAATACTCCAGTGAAATGATATGCCGATAAGAGAGAGTACCGACAGTGCGATCGAAGCGCCATCTACACGAAATATTATGAACTATTGATTTATCGATACTCGATGAGAATTATTTTACCAATAAAGATTTAAGGGTTACTATTTTATCGATATACGAATTCATATATATATGTATATAATTATCGAACGTAATTGATAATTTAATAATAATTTAATTTTAATTTAGACCGATATAAATCATATGAAACGATTAAATTATTTATTTGATTATTAATCGATAATTAAGATTCATGCAATTCGACGGACTATTCGATATAAATTATAAACTACACTAAACGATTCGATATAAACTATTGAAACTAGAAGAATCATCGACGAATTATTTCGTATATATTATTTGTACAATCTATTCCCAAATGAATTTTGTCAATCTCAAATCAGAAACGAAATATGTCGATAGATCGGCCCAACTGTTAAATTACGATGACGAAAAATTATCGTGTTTCGATTGAAGACATTGTCCATTTTGAAACCTCACAATACTGCTGGTCGATTGGAAAGTCATCGATCATATATCTTAATTCGTACAATGGCGCGTGATGTTGTAAAATTTGAGACGATGATCGATCGTTTTCTCTCTTCTTCGAGTTATATCATTATTCTAGTGCGAATTTCGTACGTTCATCGTATGAAAAATAAAATATAATAAACGAAAAAAATTACAAAATTGCAAAAGTAAATTGCGAATTATCCGAAACTTTAATTCATTCGTCAAATGTAAAAATGTATGTATAGATGTATGAAAAAAAAAGAAAAAAAAAAAAGAAAAAGAAATAAGAAAATACAATTTAATGAATCGTTCTTCTATATATATGTATACATATATATATTTTTCTACACACGTAGGTATAT